AAAAAAAAACCCAGTCAATAAATGGGCAAAGGAACCGAACATGCACTTCCCAGAAAAATAAAAGGAATAGTCAACAAATTTATGAGAAAAGGTTCAACATCTAGCAATCAGAGAACTGCAAATTAAGACCACACTGAGGCCGGGTGCAGTGGTGCATACCTATCATCCCAGTGGTTCTAGAGGCTGAGGCAGGAGGATTGTGAGTTCAAAGCCAGCCTCAGCAAAGTGAGGAATTAAGCAGCTCAGTGAGACCCTGTCTCTAAATAAAATACAAAATAGGGCTGGGGATGTGGCTCAGTGGTTAAGTGCCTCCGAGTTCAATCCCCAGTACCTGCCCCCACCAAAAAAAAAAAAACTAAACCACACTGAGATTCCACCTGACTCTATTCGGTGTGGTAATTACCAAGAATGCAAGTAACAATAAAGGTTGAGGAGGATTGAAGAAAGAGATTCCTTCACACACTGCTGGTGGGAGTGCAAATTGGTGCAGCCAGTATGGAAAACAGTGTGGAGATTCTTTAGAAAAAGGAGAATGGAAGCACCAGTTGAGCCACTTACACCATGCTTTGGTATATACCTACAGGACTTCAAACCACCATACTTTAGTGACCCAGCCACATTCATGTTTATAGAAGCTCAAGTCACAATAGCTAAGTATGAAACCAACCTAGGTGGCCTTCAACAGGTGAATAAAGAAAGAAAACGTGAGATAGATAGATAGATGATAGATAGATAGATATAGAGGGGAGGGAAGGAGGGAGGAGGGCAAGAAAGGGAAGGAAGAAGGATCCAAGGGCTCAGAGACTGATGGGTTGGTGCCCAGGGGCATACAGCAGTCCGTGGGCTCTTCTCGGCGTGGGCCAGTTTTCTCTCCACAATTTCCTCTCAGGACCAACGTGGAGATCCAGGTGTTGGGAAGCATATGCATTGGGAGTGGGCATCACTGCTCTGAGCTGCTGTCAGTCACAGTCCTGAGACACACTTCCTCTGCGTGTTGCCATCCACAGGTCACATCACATAGGTTAATACTTTATCCCAAGCCACACTAACTCTGTGCCTCAATGTGAGTGGCCCTAGGTTGGCTCATTATGATTGGAACCAAGAAAGCAATCCAGGCTCCTCTGACCTTGGACAATGACAGATCCACTCAAGAAGTTTCCCTCCAGACTCTTCTTGTTCACCATTGTCTGAGGACGGGAGAGGAATTGGCCTTGCCTTTGGGGACACCGTCCCTGCCTACTGTAAGACAGGTCCTGTCAGGCCTCACCAGAACACCAAGGTCACCAGTCCTCTGAGGGGTGAGCTCAGGCCCTGGGTCCCATATGACCTCCTCCTGAAGGCTCAGCCTCATGTCTGAATGCACAAGAGGCAGGGGAGGCAGGGAGGTGCTGCGGGAAGGCATTTTGGAGTCCAACTCTTGCCACATTATAACTGCGACCCAGGCACTCGTAGAATTGCTATTTACTTGAAATGTTATGGCATCAGCTTTATTTCATAGCATTAGTATGATTTATAATATTACCAGTATTATTGTTCATGAGTAAATTAGTATAAGTGTGCACGAGGAATAATAATTCAGGAGATCGATAGATCTAGCTCTACAATAATCTCTAGGACTTAAAGTGTTTCAAAACCTATCATTTTGGCTCATAAGATCAGACACACACAATCTAAAAATCCTATCTAATATTAGTCAGAATGGAAACTTACCAAAAATCGATGAAATTGTTTTAAATGTACCCAATTTCACTACATGTGAATGATTAATTATTTCTTCTTCACTATCACATAGTTGTTATTTTAAACTTAGACAATGTTGATGCCTTTTGAAAATGTCCTCAAAGAAAAAAGACAAGAGGGCTAGGGCTGGGGCTCAGGGGCAGAGCACTCGCCTAGCACGGGTGAGGCACAGGGTTCCATCCTCAGCACCACATAGAAACAAAATAAAGGGATGTGTCCACCTACAACTAAAAAATACATACTTACAAAAACTGTAAATAAATTGCAGAGGGATCCATAGAGTTAAGGGAAGGGAGGTGAGAGGGGAGAGCAGGGGACTGAATTAGAACAAACTGTATTTCACACTTTGGTGATTCTGTCAAACTGTATCCTAATGTTATAAATAACTAATAAGAATCAGTAAAAAACAATACCCCAAATAGTAAAAAGAGGTGTGATTCAAGAGTTTGCTACCAATTAAAATACTGCACAAAATTAAAAAGGGAAACCCTAAGGGTACACAGACATAGACAAGTAGTAGAATAAATTTTAATTTGTTACCATATAAAACACACAAAGTTTTCACAGCCAATCTCTCTGTAGTGGAGTTAGTACACAGAGCCCAGGGACATTCATCTGGTGACAGTTAGGACCTGCTCATATTGGAAACACTGTTCCTTGACACCTATTGTCAGGTTCACTAGCTGACGTTTAGATTTAGAGTCTTTACTGATGCAAACCATGGAGAAAGGACAGGATTTAACCCCAGAATTTTCTAGAAAAGGTAAGTCTTTCATGTAAATTCATTGAATTTAAATATATATATATATATATAATCTCTCTCCCAGGGATGAAAGGAGATTTAAAATACAAGAAAAAGGGGCAGGGGCTCAGGGGCAGGGCACTCGCCTGGTACATGTGAGGCGCTGGGCTGGATCCTCAGCACCCCATAAAAATAAAGGTATTGTGTCCATCTATAACTTAAAAAATAGATTAAAAATACTAGAATAAATACAAATTTGTGGTAAAATTAGAAAACATAACTGGGCAAAGTAATATCATTATACAGATCCACAGGCCCCTGATCTGGCTTTAGTTCATGTCCTTCTATGTTAACACACATGGTTCCTTGGTTCCTAAAAATCCCTAGAGTCCTTGCCTTCCCCCAGCTGATCTGTCAGCTTTATTCTTTACTAATGCCCAATCCCTGAGGCAGCACAGAGAATTTTAGACAAGAATTTTTGCCTAAGTAGTGATTTCTGAAAGAGTAAGACATGTTCTGCTTCTGTTAGTTTATTTCCAGAGGCACCAGTAAATCTGAAGTTTCTGTGGCAAAGAAGAGCAGCTTACAATGATCTACAGGAAGCTTATTTTACCTTCCATGAGACACATTTCATTTTCTAAAGCTTTTTTTGGTGTTCTTGTCATGCTAATCTTGATTAATGATGCTTGGAAATGAAAATGATCTTCATAAAAATATAGTCCAGGTACAGTTTCTATCCAGTCACTGAAGGATTACAGAATGTACATTTGCACATTCATCAAGGTAAATTATGGAGAATAACCTCCAGGAATTCATGTAATTTTAAAGGAAGATGAATGGCAATAAGACCACAATAGTGGAGATCTTTCCCATCTTGTTCCCAAACATCTGGATGCAGGCTTTGGAAGCAGGGTGACAGCAGCTTGGGAAACGAGGGCAGATTCCCTGAAGGACACCCAATGGCTCGGGGGTCTGCTCCCAGCACTCAGGTGTCCTTTGGGGTCTGAGTGAATATGCATCTAGAGGTTTCTGAACTAAGGAATGTTCCAGCATCTTCCAAACAGGAACAATTCAAATGGAAGATGTGCAGCTGGACTTCACCTTGCTCATTGCAGACACTCCCTTTTCCTCCTTGGGGACGGACAGGCCAACTAGAATGATGGGTGGATTTTATTGGTCCTGTGACCAGTGCCTGGAGCTTAGTTTTGAAATATTTAATTTCCCTTGAAATTGAAAGTTTTATTGCATTTACAAAGAGTGTGTGCAAGACCTCTTCTTTCATCCGAGGAGAGGCAAGCAAACAGGTAAACTGTTGCTAAACTCTCCTTGTGCCAGGCATACATGTGACCACAGATCCAGGAACTTGGGAGTCTCAGGCAGGAGGATGCCAAGTTCGAGGCCAGCCTCAACAACTCAGTGAGGTCCTAAGACCCTCAGTGAGAAACTGTCCCCATATTAAAAAATAAATAAAAAGGGCTGGGAGTTGGGGATGTAGCTCAGTGGTAAGGCACCCCCGGGTCCAGGCACCAGTTCTCTTCCTGAAAAAATGTCTCCTTTGTTGCTTTCTACAAATGACCCTGGGCTGGATCTCCAGCTAATGTCAGCAAGGGGTGAGTGACAGCACTACTCCTGTTTCCACATCTCCTGATCCTACTTCACAAAACACACACACACCTTGGGTAGGAATCATCCCAAAGCCAACACAAGGATGCTGGCTTCACCTGTCACGGGATTGACTCTCACCAATCTGGCTCACACCAAAAGGGACAGGGCACAAATGCCACCTTTCCCCTCTTGACTCAGGATGCAAACGGAGTTGAAATTACTCACATGGGGCGACATGCCTGACCCTGAGGGTAAGTGATGGTGGCTGGATTAGAGGAAGCTATGGAGGGGCAGGACACATAAGTACATGATTCCTCCCAATTCTGCACTCTATAAAGAGAGTGGGATGAGCAGGTGAGGCTGTCCTCCTAGGGGATGCGTCTCCAACTCCAACCTGGGGGCCTACAGCTTTCCCTGGGCAATGTCTCCGTAGCAGCCATGTTTCAGAGACGCTGTTCCCAGGACAAACAGGACCACATCTTAGGAAGTGGGAAGGGAGGGAGTAAAAGGAGGTGGTGGGATTTATAATCTAAAGGAAAACGCAGTAGGTCCACCAGACAGAGGGGAAGGCATCACCACCTCCCTGAGGCGAGGGGCTGCTACAAAATCATTGATCTGAAGAAGGAGTGGTGCACAAGCTAAAATTAGTTAATTATTTTTTAATTGACTATTCTCCTTGGTCTGGGTTGGGGTGGACCAGCTTTCCTGCGGGCTGGACCAGCATTCTGCCCCCGAGCCACACGCCATCCCTTGAATTTAAGTTGATAATGGAAATAAGAGGCTATCCTACTTCCAAAGAATGTTTTTTAGTACATGATGATTCTAGTGACTGGAAAATGTGACATGACGACAAAATTCTGCTGCTGTCAAACACTTCTGGTTCTCTCTGCAGAAACTCGTCATTTGCTTCAACATGCCCATGAAGATGGACCGAGATTCCAGACTCAGGGCCACGAGAAGTGCCTTCTACCTGCAGGCTGGGGCCGGGATCTTGGCCAACACCTGTCTGCTCTGCCTGCACCTGGCCGCCCTCCTCGGGGGCCACAAGCCCAGGCTCATCGACCTCCCCATGGCCCACCTGGCTCTGACACACATCGTCCTGCTCCTCACTGTGGCCCTTTGGTATCCACAGACATCTGGGAAGGGCAGGACATTCCAGGTGATGTCAAATGCAAAGTGCTGGTCTTCTTGCACAAGGTCATGAGGGGACAGTCCCTCGGCACCACCTGTGTCCTCAGTGTGCTCCAGGCCCTCACCATCAGCACCAGTGGCTCCTCGCTGGCCAACTTCAAAGTCAAACCTGCAAACCCCATCCTGGGGGCATGTCTGTTCCTGTGGGTCCTCACCATGGCCATTACCAGCCACCAGCTGCTCTGCACGGTGGCCACCCCCAATGCCACGCAGCCTGGTCTTCTCTTTGTCAACGGCCACTGCTCCTTCCTGCCGAGGTACAGGGGCGTTTTTCTGCTCCTGGTAACGCTCAGAGATGTCTTCTTCGTGGGCCTCATGGCCGTGTCCAGTGGGTACATGGCCACCCTCCTGCACAGACATCAGCAGCGCTGCCTGTCCCTCCACACCTCCCCCGAGCACAGGGCCACTCACAGCGTCCTGCAGCTGCTCGGCTGCTTCACCACCCTGGACTCTGCAGACTCTGCGCTCTCTCTGCTCATCAGCAGGATGAGGAGAAATGACCCCGTGCTCGGGAGCATCCACAACGCGGTGGCCAGCGGCTGCGGCAGGCTCAGTCCCCTGGTGCTGCTCAGGGCGGACACACAGATCCTGAACCTCGTACAAGTCCAGTGGAGGAACAAAGCTCAGATGCTGACAAGACGCATCTAAAGCGGCTCCTCCACTCTCACTTACAAACCCCTCTATCCACACAAACTTCTTTCTGAAATGATCTCAGCAAGTGCACCAGATTTTCTGTCTGGTAAGGTCACCTATGTGACTACAAACGACCTTGTGTATGGTTTTACTTGATATCTGCATCAGTGTCTTTAGGTACATCCACGGACTTTTACAGTCTCGTCTTATTTTCTTCTTGTTTTATGAAAACTTCTTTTGAAGTACTATTAGAGCCACATTGTCCCTTATTCTGTCTGAAAATAGACTATTTTAAAAAGAAGACTACAATATGGCTATCAACCAGGCAGTGCCATAACCCCAAAAGTCCATCAAGAAAAGAATAGATATTGTCTAGCATGGTCCGGGCCATGGGTTCAATCCACAGCAACTACAGGAAAAAGAAAAAAATGGATAAACAAATGCAGTGGGGCTGGGGATGTGTGTATGAACAGGCACATTATATATCCATATACACAAACGTGCAAGCATATATATAACTTATAGAGAGAGAATATCATTCTGCCATAAAGAGAAATGATACATGCAACAATATGGATAAATCCCAAAAGTATTCAGCTAAAAAATCTATCAGACAAAAACATCACAGATTGCCGAGTAAAATTCCATTGTGTATATAGAAAATAATGCTAAGTGAAGTTAGCCAATTGCAAAAAAAAAAAACAGATGCAGAATGTTTTCTCTGATATAAGGAGGCTGACTCATAGTGGGGTAGGGAGGTGGGCCATGGGAGGAATAGATGGACTCTAGATAGGGCAGAGGGAGGGAGGGGAGGGGACAGGGGATTAGCAAGGATGGTGGGATGTGATGGACATCACCATCCAAAGTCCACGTATGAAGACACAAATTGGTGTCAACATACTTTTTCTGTATGTGAAAAATTGTGCTGTATGTGTGTAATGAGAATTGTAATGCATTCCACTATCATGTATTTTTAAAAAAAATCAATAATTTTTTTTAAATCAGATATATGTATACTTCACTCTTAGGAAGTATGCAGAATATGGAAACCCCAGAGTCACAGAGCAGAAGTTGGTGACCAGGGCCTGGGAGGGCAGGAGAGTGACCGTCTGCCTGAGGGACACCTGGTTTCCTTTGGTGGTTATTAAAAGCTGTGCAACAAGGAAAGGTTGTAATAACATTGCACCATTTCAAATATCACTAGATCCGATTTTCAAATGGACACTATCAGGAGAAATGAATCTCATTTAAAAACAAAACCCCCCAAAAAACCTGAAAATTCTGGGATTCTACTCAGTGACGTCGGGTATAAACTCTGGTGACAGGAAGACACTGTGGCGCTGCAGACCCCAACCGTACTCTGGACCACCGACTCAGAGTTGTTAGGAATACCGGCTGCCAGGAACTGAGAACCTACTCTGCCGAGTCAGGTGTGGCTCTAGCTTCTTCCTAAACCTTGGTCCTAATTTTCCCAGTGGTCTTGGGTCCTACTTGGAGGAATCCTGACTTTATGGAGAACAAACAAGGGCTGGAAACCAAACTGATTGTCCCAGGGTCACCCACCATGCAGACCAGGGCTCTGATGGACTGATCAGTCTTTGAAAAATCAACTCCAGTCCAGGGTCATTTCTGGACAGAGGAGGGGGAAAGGGAGGAATTATCAAGGGGCTCCAGGAACCTTCGAGACTGAATTAGTCTTCACGTCCTTATTGTGGGGATGGTTCCGTGGGTGTATGTATGTGGCAGACCTAACAAGCTGCTCATTACATATGTGTGGTTTATTCTTATCATTTTCACCTGAATAAAGTTATTTTTAAATGAATGAAAGATATTAAAAGAATTCAACAAAAGGCAGATGCCAACTACACCTAAGGAAATATGGCAGACAGCACACATCATTATGGAATTGTAAGAAATCAGTTAATTTGAAAAGAAACAAAAAAAATTGACAAGACAAAAATTTGGTTCTTTAAAAAATAAATGAAATTGAGAAACCATTATCCACAAAGAGAATGAGGGAGAAAATTCAAATTACTAAAATTCATGATGTAAGAGGAAGTATCATGGTGGACACTATTGAAATACAGAAGGTGATCAGAAACTGTTTTGAAAGTTTATACTCCAATAATATGCAAAATTGTGAAGACATTGACCAATTACTAGAGACATGTGACTTCCCCAAACTGAATCCGGAGGACATACATGGTTTAAGCCCATCAATTTAAAATAATGAAATACAAAATGCCATCAAAAGCCTACAACTAAGAAAAGCCCAGGACTAGAGAGACTGTCAGCCAAGGTCTATGAGACCTTCAAAGCAGAAATAACACCAAATTTCTCAAATTATTTTGTGAAATAGAAAAGGAGGAACCCTTCCAAACTCATTCTATGAAGCTAGTTTCACCCCGATACCAAAACCAGACAAAGATACAAGGAAAGAAAATTTCCCACCAGTATCCCTGATGGTCACAGATGCAAAAGTTCTCAATAAAATTCTGGCAAATAGGGGCTGGGGCTGGGGTTCAGTGGTAGAGCACTCACTCGCCTGCCATGTGTGAGGCACCGAGTTTGATCCTCAGCACCACATAAAAAATAAATAAAAATAAAGTCATTGTGTCCATGTACGACTAAAGAAAAATATTTTTTTAAAAAAATCCTGGCAGATAGCATACAAAAACATGTTTAAAAGATAGTCCACCATGATCAAGTGGGGTTTCTCCCAGGGATGCAAGGTTGGTTTAACACATGGAAATCAATAAACATAATTTATCATACAAATGAACCTGAAGATAAGAGTTGTATGATTATCTTGATACAGTGCCGCAGTCTGGCTGGGCACAATCAGGAGCCACTTGTCAAAAGAAACTAACTTTATTTTTAGAACCACACACGCCAAACAAAACAGCCTCTCAGGAAAAACCCTCAGAGCCTCAACTGCCACCACCGGCTTTCCACAAGCCTCTCTCTCCCACACAAGCTTCTCCCCACCTCCCACAATCCTCCTGCTCTTGAGGCCGATTGGCTGGGTCACATGGGCGGAGCCAAAAAAGTCCCCCAATGAGCAGCTCCGTGGTCTGAAAGGGCAGGGAAACAGCCCAATGAGCATCACCGCAGAGGAGCCAATCAGCTAGATGTTGCTGGGGCCGCTGTGAGCCAATCATCAGCCGGCAGCTGGAAGTTTGCTGGCAGCTGGAAGTTTGCTGGGGCCCCTTCGGCTGTGGCTCTCAACAATACAGAAAAAGCATTTAACAAAATTCATGCTCAAAATATTAGGAAAACTAGAGATAGTAGGAACATACCTCGACTCTGTTAGAGCCATCTATGCTAAACCCATGGCCAGCATCATTCCAAATGGAGAAAAATTGAAAGCATTCCCTCTAAAACCTAGAGCCACACAGGGATGTCCTCTTTCACCATTTCAATTCCACATCATCCTTAAAACACTAGCCAGAGCAGTTAGAGAGAAAAAGAAATAAAAGGGATACAAAGAGGAAAAGAAGAACTCAAAGGATCACTATTTGCTGACAACATGATTCTATATCTGGAATATCAAAAGAATTCCACCAGAAATCTTCTAGAACTCATAAGTGAATTCAGCAAAATGGCATGATATAAACTCATGACCCATAAATCCAATGTGTTCCCACAGATCTCTGATGAATCCTCTGAAAGAGAAATTGGGAAAACTACCCCGATCACAATAGCCTCAGAAAGAAAAATACAATATTTGCAAATTAATCCAACCAAAGAGGTGAGAGACCTCCACAGTCAAACATCAGAACAGCAAGGAGGGAAACTGAGGAAGGCCTTTGAAGACGGAGCCATCTCCCACGTTCTTGGGTGGGCAGAATGAAGCTTGGGCCATTGTGACAATGGCCCTACTGCCAAAAAGCACTGCACAGATTGAATGCAATTCCTATTAAGACACCAATGATGTTCTGCATAGAAATAGTAAAAGATGTCATGAAATTCATTTGGCAAAATAAGAGGCCCCGAACAGCAAAAGCAAGCCTTAGCAATAATGGGGTCAAAGGAGGCATCAAAATATCAGTCCCTGAATCACACCACAGCGCGACAGTAACAAAAGTGGTATGGTTGTGGCATGAAGACAGACAGACCAACAAAACAGGATAGAAGACAAACCCACGTAGACAGTTCTCTCACACTAGACAAAGGCACCAGAAATACATGGGAGCAAAGAATGTCTTCAACAAATGGTGCTGGGAAAACAGGAAATCCTTCTGCAGCAAAGTGAAATTAAACCCCTCCCTCTCACCCTGCACCAAACTCAAGTCAAAGTGAATCAAGGACTCTGGCACTACAGCAGAGACCCTGAACCCAATGGAAGAAGAAATTAGCCCCAAATCTCCACCATGTCAGCTTAGGAGCTGACTTCCTTAACAAGACCCCTAAAGCACACACACACACACACAAAAAAAAAAAAAAAAAAAAAAAAAAAATCAAGAATCAATAAATGAGAGGAATTCAAAGTAAAAAGCTTCCTCTCAGCAAACGAAGCAATCAGTCATACAGAGAGAGAATCTACAGAATGGGAGAAACTGTTTACCACATGCACCTCAGAGCGTTGATCTCAAGAATCTATAAAGAACTCAAAAAACTTTAACACACACACAAAAAAAGCCGATCAGTAAATGGGCAAAGGAACTGAACAGACACTTCACAAAGGAAAACACACAACCCATCAACCAATATATGAGCAAATGTCCCCCGATATGCAGATGCTAATCACAAGGGAGGCACTGGGGTGGGGGATGGAGGTTGTTTGGAGTAGAGAGGGGAGTGGAGGGAGGGGGTGGGAGGGGGAAGGACAGTGGAAGCAGTCAGACATTATTACCCCACATGCACATACGATCACATGACTGGTGTATTTCCACATCCTGTATGGCAAGGAGGATGTGAAGTTATACTCCATTTATATATGATGTGTCAATGTGTTTCACTGTCAACTGTAACTCACTGTAACCAATGCAAGAAAAAAAAAAAGAATCCAAGAA